CAGCCCATCTGCTAACTGGGAAATCGATTGAGTGAATCGCATATCGATATAAAAAATTAAGTTGAAAAATATCGATTACGCATTTATGGATTACTTTGATTGCTCGTATAATCTTTATGGGAATACCATAAATAAATTGACTAAGAATCGTTATTTGTTTGATTTCCCCTTTCAACAGTCTTAGACCGCAGGAAATTAGTTTGTCAGTCTGGTCAACACTGATATGCCCCTTTCGTGACCAAAAGCATTAGTTGTAACTTTATTACGTATTTGTGTATTTTCCTTAGTGGGTTTTATTTTTTAACCAATCACGCACACACATGGCTGCTCATGAATAAACATTTTCCTCTTTTATAAAAAAAAGGGGGAGGGGACTGATGAATGAAATCTTTTAAGGAAGAAGTGGTTTCCGACGCACGCCATGTTTTTCCCATTTTTGATTAAGGCATAATTTAAAACATTTCCTTTTCCCCATATGTTATTTTGTATCCACGAAAAAATACAAAATTTAAAATACCGGGGGGTTATAATTAGTTACACTATTCGGAGGCCTGTAGAACCTGTTCTGCTTTTCGGATTTTGATAAAACTTGGAATATATGCTATAGAGACCATGGAAAAAAGATTTCTGAAAAAAAAAAAAAAATAGTACACATTTTGACCACCAGGTGGCTTTTATCGAATATTCCTTATGCAAATCCGTAAAACCTCTATATAAACTTGCAGCCATAGCCAGAGAAGCATTCAGCGCGCGTTTGTCACCGTTAATCATTCTTGTTTTACAGGAGCGACAATGCTTGCAAACCACTATCTTTATACAAGATAGAGCAACTCATCACATTGGGCGCCAAGTCAAAGTACTGCTTATTGTTAACTTTGGCGTTCATCGGGATTATCCTGATATTTTCTGGGTGCATGGCCTTCACGCTCACCCAACTTAAATCCCCGGGATTTCTGGTTTTGGAGATTTCTAAAAGACTGTGTTTGTAGAGGAGGAATTAGGACTTTTCCTGATTTGAAAGCCAGCAGTATACGCCATGTGGCTGAAATCCCTCGTGAGTTGCTTCGCGCTACCATTGAAAACGCTATAATGCGCTTTCAACACTTTATTGATGTCAACGGAACACATATTGAGCATATTCTGTAATTGAATAAATTTGAACGATTCTAACGTATTTTTCGTCCTTCTTTGGGCACCTCATTTCCTCCTAGTGATCAAAATTTGAACTATTTTTTTTTATTGCATAAACTTTTTCCCCATTGTGCATATAGCATATAGTCCAAGTTTCAATAAAATCCGATGAGCAGAACGGGTTCTACAGGCTTCTGAATAGTTTAACTTTAATTATATCCCCCCCCCCCAGTATTTATAGAATATTTAAAGGGGTAATTTGTACAGTGTTTTATATTCAAGTGCTTAAATTTTTAAGGAAATGGAGGAAAAGCTGAGTGGTTGATTTGAGATAATAATATTTGAAATAGTCATAGTAAATTACTTTCATTACTGATGGTAAATAAATCCCTAATCGATATATACTGAGGTGATCAAAAAATTGTATACCCACACTTTGATACAGAAAAACGTATCTATTTATCATAAATATTACTTTGAATAAAAATGACAAAGTTACAATACATGTTCAAAAACTGTAATCCACCCGCCTTGAATTATTTTTGAGCCCGATGTCGTACATCAGGGGTGTTAAACTCGCTGCCAACAGCGAACATTTTTGCAACCCGGTCAGTGTATCGGCACACAATAATATATAATAAAATATCAATTTCTCCGCAGTATTTTAGGAGCACACGTGTGGATATGAACAGTGTAATGCTATATTTATAGAGAAACCACTCTTGCAGCTACGAGGCGAGAAAACTGTACACCGGCATGTCGTGATTTCGAGTCCTGATGCTACTTAAGACGTAATTGGCATTTGCTCGTATTTATTTGAATTAATGTTTACAAAATTGTTAAGTTTTTAATATTTTATTTCATTTTCTTTTCCGCAAAGATAATTTCTGTCAAAAAAAAAAAAAAAAAAATCATCTGTTCTTCTGATATAGCACCTGCTTGGAAAAGTTTTTCATTCTCAGAAGGTAAAAAGAAAAGTTTGTTAAAAACTTTTTCCCATTTAATATAAAGATTCTTCCTTTAATTGTTTTGTTTGCGTAGAAAAAAGGAATTTTTGTCATTTTCTTTTCTCTTGTTGATTTCCTTTCAGTCTAGAACTTTCTGTTTTCTTGGCTTCGAATATTTATGGAAGAATGTTTTTTAAATGTTTAATCTGTTTCAAAGTTTGTCTTTCATGGATTTTTATCGTACGATTAATCTTTTTTTTTTTTTTTTTTTTTTTTTAAACAGTTAATTTTTTTTTTGATTTTTTATGAAATTGGACATTATTTTTTTTAAAAAATAAAAATTTTAGCAAAAGAAAAAAGTTCGGTGAACATTTTTTTTTAAACATTTAATGAAAATGAATTTATTAAAAAAGACATTTATTCTTATATATCAAATAAAAATATTTTATACTTCTATATATTCGCGGTTCAACACGGTGGTTCAAATTTGCGAAGTCTTAAATGTAATTTTTTCAAATCTAACAGTTCTCGTGTAGCTTCAAAGTGAAACGTTAATGAAAGCTGTCAATTAAATTTAAAAATACTTCAAGAAAATGTAAAAAAATAAATAAATTAATTAAAATGATGAAATAAGCCACATAATTTACTCATTTTTTTAAACATATGCTTATCAGCAGCTTAAATATAACGAATAAAACCATTTTTATTTTCCAGAAGTGTGATGTTGATACTAGTAATATAAAAAAATGTTTAAGTCAATTCCTACTTAGATCAATAAAGAAAAATTTTATTTTGGTTAATTCAATTTAATTAATGAATTAATATTTGAAAAAAAAACTGTTTTTGCATCAAGTGTCATCCACTACAAATTTTAAAAAAATGTATTTGAATTTGAATGGATGAATAAAAAGTATTTTATTAACAATTGAAAATTTGAACTATATATATAGGGAGAGAGTGAACTAATAGTAGGAATTCAAAAATGTGTGAGATATACACTTGTGATTTCTTATTTTCCTTTTTTCTCTTCTACTTATTTTTCATCAACACAGTCTTAACAATAGAATCAAATGAAAAATAAAAAAAAATTTGTTGAATAATAATTTTCAGTTATCATATTTTGTGTGTGTGTGTGTGTGTTTTGTATAATTGTCAATGCTATATTCAAATCATATAAGGGTTTTCAACCTTTCGCGCTTGAGGGCCAAATTAATAATTAACTATACAATGGTCCGTGGGCCACATGAATAAATTCAATCATCCGCGGGTCACACGACCGTTCAAAAATGTACTCAGGAAATTTACTCGTATATAAAAAAGGTTTGTTTTACAAGACTATTACTGATTTGGTTTTTATAGATTTGTGCATATGTTAGATGGAAGTTGAATTAAAATACTTTGCAAACTTGCTAAAGCCAAAAAGTCCACATTTTTTCTGAAAATTTCTGAAATTGCATGCGTTATACTTTTTGTATTTCAAATTATTTAAACTACAGTGATATTTTTGAAAAAATTTATCTGAGAAATAGATGTTATGCATATCAATGAAATGTTTTAAAAATCAAGAATAACAGGAAAAAATGACGTTTCTTGCAACAAAAAACAGACCCGGCAAATTTTTTTTTTTTTTCTAAATTGCTTCCAATTCAAATGAGGGGCCACTAAAATTCCTTCAGCGGGCCAATCGTGGTCTGAGCCACGGGCTGAAGACCCAAACTTTAACTAAAGCTTTTCTATCTAGAAAAGTAATATTGTTCGTCGTCACAGTTAAGAAAAACGAGTGAAGAATTGTCTTTGTACAAGTAGCAAATATACTATGTTATTTAGAAAACATTTTAAACAACACGAATTATAAATTTTTATCATTATACTGGGAAATTTGATACGATTTTATAACTGTGTTGCTCTCGAAATACTCCAGTTTTCAATGACAGCATGATCACGATTCTTTTCACTGACATTCGCCAATTTAAAAGAACAATACACATTTCTCGAATCGCAAGTGTACACAACATAAATGGCAAATAAAAAGATATCATTTCATAATCATGCTTTCACCTGCTTTACCCTCAACTAATCCATCTTTTTTTCTGCTTACATAAATAAAAGAATAACAGTTAAAACTTCGGTCTGAATGGCATCAGACTTTTCGTGCACGACTTTTCATTCGGCGGTGGCAACACTGTTGTTCTTTTTCGAATAATGATATTCTAAGAGAAGATCATTTTTATTGCGTGTTTATTTTGATGACTGTTGCTGTATTGAGTAAGATGTGGTCGCAAGGCCATTATGTTAAATTTAATCCAATTACGAAAGAATGGTTTTGGATTGTTTGTTTTGTTTCGGGGATGTTAAGTGGATGGTAATGTCTGAATTTGATTTCAGTAAAACTTGTTATTATTTAGATGTGATTGAAAGAAGGAATTTTGCTTCTCTGCCTGATTAGTATTTGAATGAACATTGTTTACTTGATTAAAAAAACATGAGAGATAGTTAAGAAGGGGAAAACATTGCGTGCAATTTTATTTGTATTCTATAAAATATAAGGAATTCTTAACACATCTATGCATATATATACATTTTTTTTTCTATGAATAACGTGTTTGCTTAACATATTACCTTTAGTAGATCCTAATTGAACTTAACATTATCAACTTATTAAACAAGTAAAATAAATTCTTTTTTTAAAGTCAATTCCTATTTAGGTCAACAAAGAAGAGTTTTAATTTAGTTATACTTTTTATTAAATAGTTATTGATATAGATATGTATATACATATGACATAATCACACTATTAAGTGGCTAAATAGAAAACGAATTTTCTTGCAATTTTTCATTTTCCTTTTTATAAAGGGTGTTGGACTATTTTTGTTTGTTTGCTACTATTTATTCATTCATAAATCACATTCTCAGAAATTAGGCTATCCCAGGTGGAGTTCAAACTCACGTCCTTTGGATTAGAAATCTAACGCGCTATCCATTGCGCTACAGGGACACAACGAGCGATTTTCCTTTTTATCTATGGTGTTGGACCATTATTTGTGCTTGTTATTATTAATTAATTAATATTTTAAAAAACTGTATTAACATCAAGTGCCATACACTTCAAATTTAAAAAAATATATTTGAATTTGAGTGGGTGAATAAAAAGTATTTTATTAACGATTGAAAGTTTGAACCAGATATATATATATATATATATATATATATATATATATATATATATATA